CTGCGTTTTCCCGTACGTGGCCTCCACTCCAGAACCTTGCTGCCCCATCGGCCGTCAGTTCTGCGTACTGTGTGCCCTGCCCATTGCCACTTCATCTTTCTAATCCGTCGGGCTATGTCAGCGACTTTAGTTCAAGTACAATTTTGTGAACCAAATTTTTTTATATACCTGTTGCCGCCATCTTTTCTGACTTAAACTCAGGTAAAACACATTTGAAAGCGGTTTGTGGTCTGGCCAACCGCTTGTTTATTGGGGGAAGGAGTTTTTTGTTGCGGAACAAGGAATAAAGGAAGCAGATGGTTTGTTTTAATATCTTTATACTTATATATATACAGATTAGGGCCGGGTTGGCTTTTAGTGACGTCGTATCGGAAAATGGAATCGTGGAATTCGTTTTTTCGAGATCTTTTGAGAGGAATGGAATTTTCTGATTTTTTACCGTGAATTTTGTGAATTGATTGCATTCGGTTTTTCGAAAAAATGTTAAAAATTCAATTTTTTCATATTTCATAGTATTTTACAATATTGTGATTCGGGAAAGATTCGGGAAATTGATAGGAATTAGAAGATGCTACATTTTTTCCACTCCTAGTTTTTTCATTTATCTAAGTATTCTGTCATATGGGTTGTAAGTTTTATAACTACTTAATTATTTTAGAGTCAACATCATATTATCTACCTGTAGGTACATTTTGTTTATTTTAAGGACAGAATATGATTCTACAGTTTATATTAGGTACTTACGTTAAACATTCTGCTATCTGTAAATATATTCCTTTTCTAGTTACATCCCCAAAAACATTTGCAATCCAAATTCTTGCATTTTCTTTTGTACTTCCAAAAAAGCTATACAGGGTGTCAAATCCTTCCCGACTACTCTAATTGCATCGAACTCTGGCCCTGACACATAAAAGGGTAATAATAAGTCGGAATCCGAACCCTCGGGATGAGTTTAAACCGATTAAGGGTTCGCTAATTGGTTGTTCCGTTATACAGGGTGATTGGATTCGTCGGAATCGTTTTTTGAGTTTTACTTTTAATTGACGGCGAGATTTCAGTCTGAGGCGGCCATTTTGGATTGGCTTAGTGGTCGGTCGATATTGTCTGGAATTTATTGGTCCTTCTTGGAATCCTCGATTCTGGGTAATTTAGGGGATAAGTTTTGTACAGTCGATAGCACATCAGTCCTATTTATTGTTCCCACGGAGAGAAATCTCGTTTTTTAGTAAAATACTTATTTAAATTTAACAAACAACCCGTTTGCAGAACCCCGCAAAAAGCCGATCCGTTCGAATTTGTCCTTAGATAAACTTCGAAAAGACGGTAACAAAATTGGTTGTGTAAATTACCCAATCCTTCTTCTATCTAGTACGCTGTAAGGTGACTTTATAATAACCTTACAACTGGTTCTATAAGCCGTCTTAAGCCCCTGGCACTGCTCATCATAATAACATAATAATATAAGTATTTAGTACCCAAATCCCTTAATAATATACAATAATCCTGCTAATCCGAACGTTTGTCAATATTGTCAATGAATCGGCAATTTAATGATCATGTATTAGAACATTAGGTAATTTGCTTTGCGCCCGCAGTCATTTCATTAAGTGCCTTATTTGAACAAGTTAAATCCTAATTTGGCCTGTTTACTGCGGTTTAGTATTTAGTATGTTAAAATCATAGCATATTCGTTTGCGATAATCAAGTCAGTAAACATAATAATTAGTGTTATGGTTTTACCAAATCATGCTAATAATGAGGAAAGAGCATTTTTGTATGTTTGTCACGAATTAACTTAAAAACTGCTGGACCGATTTCAAAAAATATTTCTTCATTTGAATGCTACATTATTCCCTAGTAATAAAGGCTACTCAGACTAAATTTACAGGCAAAACTGCGGGCAAGAGCTAATCTATAATAAAAACTTAATTGCAAAATGTGTCAAGCGCATAACTCAACAACGCTTGGATCAATTTGACTAATTATTTTTTATTATGCTTTTTACCGCAATATTTGTAAAATACCAACCCCTAAGGGGGTAAAACGGGGTCTACTAGTACGAAATCGCGGGCGGCCGCTAGTGGATAATAGAAATGCATTTTTCTATAGTAACCCTATATACATTTTTTGAATTTCCCATCCAAAATGGCTCCCACCATCCTAAAGCTTATTATAACAATTTGCTTTATCCTACCAAGATGTAAAATAACCGAAATTATAAAGTTTAAGCCGTACTGTGCGGTATAAAGGTGAGTGGGCATTTGCATAGTTTGACTATGAAACTTGGTGGGTGTAAGGCGGCGTTATAGAGCTCGTGGAATTTCAGACGTGTGAATTTTAATGGGCTTTAGTTTAGGATAAGAGTATACTCAATTTCTATCTTATAATCTTAGCTTATTTATAATAAAATATGTACATTTCGAAGGAAAAAATACACGTTTTGAAATGAAGTCATAGTGGATCTAGTTTTTAAGTTTACTTTGATTTGAGATACGATAAGAAGTCTAAATATAATAATTTAGGGATAAATTAAAGTAGGTATAGATCGTTTCATCCACGAAGACGCGCTGCACCAATTTTTGATCTCAGGAAGCGCGGGGTGCGGGGAGTTTGATCCGAGCAATCCGAGCGTCATTATTGTAGTGTGCGTCACTCGTGGATCATTTAGCGTGTACCGAACACTCAAACATTAGCGGAGGAATGGTGGGACGCGTCTTCGTGTATGAAACGATATGTCCTTCGTCGAGGTCTTTGTCCAGCAGTGGACGTAGTTTAAGGCAAGCTGAACTAGCTTTTCTAACTAAAACGAACGATTGTTAGGTACATGTTTATCAATCTTATTAATATTGTTGCAATAAATTCATCTTTACAAGTTTTTAAAAAACGAATTTCAAGTTGGTTACATAATATTTACAATTTCTGTCAAAATTTTAAAATTAATTTCGGCAAGCTACTCCAATGTGCACTAGCCTCTATGCCGTGTGTAAAGGTAAGTGCACATTTACATAGTTTGAGTACGAAGCATCTTCAGCTAGAGGCTAGACGGAGGCGATGGTTACTGCTATGTTAGCGTTTATTGTTATAACCCAGCCTTGGGTTATACATTGTTATACGTTTATGTTTAATACCTATACAGTGTGTCCGGGCTTGTAGTGATCAAACTTTAATGGCGTAATCTATGGACAATTTTATCGATGAAAATACTTCAAATTTGGGGCTTGATCCATTTGTCGCAAAATTACGAGGATTTAAGTTTTTAATTTTTAGTTTTCACCTCTTCCTTCAAAAACAAGTGAAAACGTGGGTAACTTAACATTATGAAGCGAATATTTGATATCATGCAATAGTCAATAAAATTATATATTATTAGTAGAAGTAGAAAACAGACACAAGTTTCATACATTTTATGGAAGTAAGAATGGATTGAATTAGAAAAAGACATGATTTTTTTCACATCTTTTTCAGTTATTTTCCAACACAAGAAAAACCAGGTCGTTAAAGTATGTTTTATTTGCATTGTATTAGGTATTAGTATTTGAGCTATTCTACAAAACGAATGTAAATTTATTAGTCTACGTCTATTAGTTTCGACGTAATTGTTGAACAAAGATACCCCTTCCCAGCCGGTTCCATAGAGCTGCTAACATGCGAAAATGCACTGCCTGAAAGAATCACACAACCTATTCCGACGCGCTATGGAATCGGCTGGGAAGGGGTATCTTTGTTCAACAATAACGTCAAAACTAATAGACGTAGACTAATAAATTAACATTCGTTTTGTAGAATAGCTCAAATACTAATACCTAATACAATGCAAATAAAACATACTTTAACGACCTGGTTTTTCTTGTGTTGGAAAATAACTGAAAAAGAAGTGAAAAAAATCATGTCTTTTTCTAATGCAATCCATTCTTACTTCCATAAAATGTATGAAACTTGTGTCCGTTTTCTACTTCTACTAATAGATAATTTTATTGACTATCGCATGATATCAAATATTCGCTTATTAATGTTAAGTTACCCACGTATTCACTTGTTTTTGAAGGAAGAGGTGAAAACTAAAAATAAAAAACTTAAATCCTCGTAATTTTGCGACAAATGGGTCAAGCCCCAAATTTGAAGTATTTTCATCGATAAAATTGTCCATAGATTACGCCATTAAAGTTTGATCATTACAAGCCCGGACACACTGTATAGAAATAGAATTATGTACATAGAGTGGCAAAAGTTTCATCATCATCATTTCAGCCATAGGACGTCGCTTTCCAAACTAAATTTTAAATAAACAACTTGAAAAAATCGAATTGCCAAAGGCGGGACTCGAACCCACGACCGTCCTTAAAACCTTAGGCGGTTCGATTTTTTCAAGTTGTTTATTTAAAGTACGACACATATTTGATACTTTATACATTTTGATATCTTAGAATAGTAGGTAGGTATCAAGTATTTTTAAGCCATGTATTCATTAGGCAACATTTGTTGATAAACACTGTTTTTTATAAACTGTTCCAAAACAATGTTTCATCATCTCTGTAAACAGTTTATAAACAGTCCATAAACATAGGTGATGAAACATTGTTTATGATACATGTTGCCGTGCTCCCCGCTATGAGTGGAGAGCAAGTGTGGACGGCCAAGTTTCAGAAACCTGTGTTTATGGTAAACTTGTTTCACACTAGTCATAAACAGTTTATCAACAAATGTTGCCTAATGAATACATGGCTTTATTAATAAACGCAAACAATCTTTAAATGTAAAATAGATTTCCTTTTCTCCTATGAGTTGTAATGAGTTAAAAGGTCACAACTTATTGTCCTAATTCAAGAGTAAACTGTCTGATGGGGATCAATCTATAAAAACTGAGTAATGATTGACTTCCAGCTATGAAAATTACGATCAGTTCCATCTCAATACACCAACTTACGTGATACAGATAGATGGTCGTCCGTCTATCGAGCAATTTTTTGTAATCAAGCTCTACATGTTATTTTTTGTTTCAGTGTCTAAAGAAGAAATCAGAGAGGTGGAGAGTCCAAACGAAAACCCGAAGTCAACTAGATACACCACTATATCCAGGTGAGTCTTGAATCATCAGTTCATTTAGTCTCCACTGCAGGAGCATGACTCTCTAATTTACTTGAGGCAAATGTAGAATTTGACCTACACTACCACAATTACATATGATTGCAATGCTGCGACAATTAAAAAATAGAGAATCACGGATTTTAACGCGACATTTATTATGTAGTACAGTGTAGAACATAGCGACCACGGGTCGGAAGATATAGTGAGAGCAGGCTTTCCACTAGATGGACCGACGATCTATTAAAGGCCACGGGAAGCACCTGGATGCGGGCGGACCGGTCGTTGTGGAAATCTTTGGGAGAAGCCTTTGTCCAGCAGTGGACGTCATTTGGCTGAAACGAGGGTACCTACTTAAAGCTTGACGTTTCAGCTATTAGGGACTATTCCCACCTCTCTTTCCCACCTCTTTCCCACCACTGCAACTCCTGTGTAGCCAGGATCGAGCTTGACCGCCAATAAAAACCCAACCAATGAAGGTCAAGTTTGTCCCGGGGGAAAGTTAAACTGTCATTGGACCCGCAACAAAATTAATCAGAAGAACATAGGAGGAGTTAGAAGTTAAGGTTCGACTTCCCTCCGTTACTAAGCGGAGCCGTGATCACAAGCAGTAAATGTCGCGTTGAGACTTGCACTTCACTATTTTAATTCCTAAAGTACCTACACATAAAATGAATTAATCAAACTGTACGTACATCAACCATGCAAACCACGCAATCATAGTAATACAGCCATAAGAACCTTTCTGGGAATTCCTGACACACACCACACTTCCATGTTTGTGGATTTCATTGACTGTTTCCCGGTATAGAGTAATATTTCCCGGTATAGGGTAATATTTAAGTCCTACCTATTTCATCTAAAAGAATGTAAATCAAGAAAAAAACTGACGCTTTCACGCCTAAACCACAGAAACTGTTTTGATGAAATTTAGTATAGGGACAGTTTTAGTCCCGGGAAAGGACATAGGATAGTTTTTATCCCGGTTTTTGAAACAGGAACTTTTTGTTTTCTGTAACGGACAAAATTATATGCGAAGTCGCGAGCAAAATCTAGTATAGTTGTTGCAATTCACGAAGGCGAGTAAGCTTTACATGTGTGGTGGCTCGCTACTGTACGTTTTTCAAAAGTTTTGATAGACATTACACTATCGTTATGTGCATGTACGTACATGTACACACACAAGTAAAGCTCACTCACCTTCGTGAGTTACAAGAACTATATTTTTAACTATGTATTTTTGAAGCCTGTAAACCTTTGAAAAAGAGGCTGACAATAGTGACGGAGGTTCTTGCGCTGCTTCTTCTCAGCACTGGCCCATTTATTGTCCTGAAGCAGTGGTAGGGTTAATACTGGGACGTGTAAAAGTGCTTTTTTAAAGCCTATTTACAGAAATAAATGAGTTTTTTGAGTTTTTAGTTTTTAAAATAAATATATTATATTGTCACCAGTGGGATCCAAACCTTAGACCGCAGTTGATCAAACTAAGTTCACATCAACATTTACCGCAAATCATGTCAAACTTCAAACTCCATACCTATTTATGGCAATCGCCAACTTTTCCACACATCGGGCTACATTTTTGTCGCATTATCGACCTTATTCCAACTACATAAAACACCGCATTTAGCTTTACATGCTGTCTACTGAACTTTGTTTTCACTTATTCTAAACTCAAAACGCGTCTCCAAGAACGAATTTACCCTAACAACGCGCGTATATGACGCGTAAAATCAATTTTACCACCGTGAGTGGATTGACTCACTTGGGCGCCATGGAAACCATGGGACAGAAAGGAGGGAAGATATGTACCCGTAATTTTATAAGGATATTACGCAGTGAATGTAAAGAAGCTTTGATGGCATAAGAAGAGATAAATAAAAGAAGTTAGTCAAGCAATAATATCGCCCGTCTTCACAAACGATGCTTGCTTAAGTGAAGCAGCAAGTCGAACGCACAGCGTTGAATAGAGCTCAGTGATTGGTTTGTGTGTGATCCTATGCGTCCACGCGCACTGTGAGACCTTATAGTAATGTTTGTGACTACGGGCGTAAGGTACTTATTACCTTCTTAATACATAATTTGGAATCGAAACTGTCTAGCTCACACCAGTATAATATAACCTTGAAAAGGCTAGGTACTAAGGCAAGCTCCTACTATATTACAAGTAAATATATTCTATTCTATATGATCAGGCCTCCCACTAGGTGGACCGACGATCTGGTGAAGGTCGCGGGAGGTGCCTGGATGCGAGCCGCGCAGGACCGGTTTTCGGGGAAATCCTTGGGGGAGGCCTTTGTCCAGCAGTGGACGTCTTTCGGCTGAAACGAACGAACGAACTAATGCAAGCCCCTAATTGTCCTTCTGATTCATTTAGTTTCGGATCCAATGACAGTTTAACTTTCCCCGGTACAAACTTGACTATCACTGGTAGGGTTTTTATTGACGGTCAAGCTGTAGATCCTAGCTACACAGGAGTTGCAGCGGTGGGAACGAGAGGTGGGAATAATTCCTTAAAGACCCTACTCCCAGTGTGACATGGCTGCTACACAGTTTAAACTCGCGTTCAAGTTATTTGAAAACATATAATCGTCGCCTTTGGTTGCCGCGAATTACTTTCTGCCCCTGTCAAAAGTTGGGGGAATAATTTTAATATGCATATCAGTATACAATCCAACTTCTTTTAATAATCGTATGAGACTTGAGTTTTTTCAAGTTTTTATGATGTAATACCTACCTCATTATCATCATCATCATCATTTCAGCCATAGGACGTCCACTGCTGAACATAGGCCTCCCCTAATGCTTTCCACGTTGATCGATTGGTTGCGGCCTGCATCCAGCGCTTCCCTGCTACCTTTACGATGTCGTCGGTCCACCTTGTAGGTGGCCTCCATTCCAGAACCTTTCTGCCCCATCGGCCGTCAGTTCTGCGTACTATATGCCCTGCCCATTGCCACTTCAGCTTGCTAATCCGTCAGTAAAATATATTCACCAAAAAAACATTTCCCCTTACCTGCAGTAGGCTAAAAGTAACATTCAGCACATCTCATTAAACTTATCCCTGAACGTCACATGTAACTGTGACATTTTGTAAAATGTCACTCTCTAAACACAGCAGTAAACTTTTATTACGCCATATAGTCGGACCGTCAGCAGAAAAAATGTTTGTGTGTTTGCGTTTATTTTATATGTTTTTAAAAAGCCCTAAGCCATAATACATGTATGTGAGATGAATAACGCTTTCACATTAAAACTACTGAACGGATTTTGAAGCATTATTAATTGAGAATTCGGGATTACCAATAGACTATAAATATGGTCGAGTGAAGCGATGGCTGGTTCACACGTCAAGTCTGTGAACAGGCGCTGCCTTCGGGGACTGGTCAAGGAAAGATATACCTGACATAAAATATATATGTATCAAAACGCAACAATTAACCTAGAAATTAGCACGGCACTAAATAAATATATTCAAAACTGCCACGCGGTCTCGTGCTAGATGGGCGTCTTAAAGGCCACCTTCTATCAACGGGAGCGCGTGGTAAGTAACTTGCTTCCGAATGTATTGTAACTTCCTACTTTTTTATATTTTTAAACCGTCAGACAGCTGTGGTGACTGAGTTTGTTGCGGCGCTTCTTCTCAGCACTTGCCAAATGTTTGTCTCGAAGCGCTGGTAGGGCAAAAAAAGAATGAGACATGTATAGGCTCCTTAAGAGCATTTGACGATTTGCAAGAACTAATTTAATTAGTCTAAACAAATAAAGAAAATTTTGATTTTGATTTTGACTATGATTTATAAATACAACATATAAATCGATGCATGAGAAAAAACTACTTAGTTATCCATGATTCCATACTAATACCTATTTTAAATGCAAAGATGATTGTTTGTTTGTCTATAAAAGTATCACGCTAAACCACTGAACCGATTTGGATGAAATTAAGTAGTTATTGATACTTTGAGACTCCGAGAAAAAATTACTAGGATAGTTTTTATCCAGATTTTTAGAAGACAAATCTTACTCGGACCGACTTCGCAGGCAAAGTCACGGTCAAAATCTAGTTAAATCAAAATTTTAATTAATTACAACTATCAGTACTCACACATAAAATTGACATTTTTAAACATTTCTACGCCCAATATTTTTCCATAAAAAACTAACTCCGGTATTTTCTCGCATGGCAACTTTTCTGCTGACGATATCCGCGTCACAAACATATGACATAGGACGAGAAGTTTCAGGAGATTTATTTATTTAGTTCAGACAGTTGGCAACACAGCACTTTACGTCACTCACTTGGGCGGGGCGGGGGCGTGGATCTCAAAGTTGGAGGTTTGATTCCTGGAATTTGAAGAACTAGCTGTGCCCCGCAGTGTTACCCGCTAAAACGTAGCCTATGTCTTAATCCAGGGTGTCAGCTAACTCCATACCAAATTTTATTTATATCGCTCCAGCCGTTTAGGCTTGAAGAAGTAACAAACATACACACTCACAAACTTTCGCCTTTATAATATTAGTGTGATTCAGGAACTCAAATGGTTATTACTTAGAATGAGATAGGTTTTAATAAATGCTTATCATTATCATTTCAGCCACAGGACGTCCACTGCTGAACATAGGTCTCCTCCAATGATTTGATATTGCCCGGTTGGTAGCAACCTGCATCCAGCACCTTCCTGCTACCTTTATGAGGTCTTCGGTCCACCTTTTGGGTGGTAATAAACGCTTATAATATCTTTTCACAAATTCAGTTATTGGCATATGACTGCCTGACCGAGACAAACAATATAGAGTAAGTCACTATACACTGGGAACAAATACCCAAAGTAATGCAACATTAATTTGACCCTCATGGGAATCAAATCCAGCAACCTTACTTATTAAAATGTATTTTAACGATAGTAGAAATCGCCTGCCAACTAATTTTTAGTAATCAATTTTGAACTATTATTTTGAACACGTCCTCCAAGTTGATAATCCTTACCTTTGGACCGCAAATGATTCCTTAAAATTTGCTTAAGTATTTTGATCTTTAAGAAATATTCCCAAAGCAAGCAACCATGATTTCCTTGCTCTTACAAAGGCTGGCCAGTGGCGAAGCACATTTTTCCTGTAAACCTTAATTACCCCACTGTCAGTTGTTGTAAACCCCGCGTTAATTTCACTTTAATTCCCGCCGCTGTTTCAGTGGCTGTCACTCAAACATTTTGTATTCGGAGTAATCCGGCTAAATCTGCTTTAATGCGAAATTTATTTCTCTCCGCACTTTCCCATTTTGCTGTTAAATTACTTTTACATGCGGCAACTTTTGACCTGGATAGTCGAAAGGCTTGCAGTTAAATGTATGTGGTGTATAGAATTATTTTAATAGAAAGTACTTAGTTCTTGAGTGGCGACCACGAGCCGGAAGACGTAGCGTAGACAGGCCTTCCACTAGGTGGACGGACGATCTGGTGAAGGTCGCGGGAGGTGCCTGGATGCGAGCGGCGCAGGATCGCTCTTCGTGGAAATTCTTGGGGGAGGCCTTTGTCCAGCAGTGGACGTCTTTTGGCTGAAACAAACGAATGAACGAATTAACTTAGTCTGTCGCTTCGTTCATCATGGTGTTTTTATAGGTTTAGCGCTTAAATCAGGCAGTGAGTGAGTAATGGATAAACAGGGGAGGGTGATTTTGTGATGGTCACACGTCAGCGAGAGTTCTGAGGGCTGAGTGTGAGTTTTTTTTGCCCCTAGCGGGAAGCTTTCAAAAACTAAAATTTTTATACATTTTTTAAACGCGTTGATGTAAACTCACACTCAGACCACCGATTTGTATGCCTTGTCACATCATAATGTCAATGTCACCCTTGAGGTTCCTCCAGCGTTTTTTCTCAGCACTTGCTATAGGTACATAGTGTAACTCAAATTGCTGTTTAAGCGCGCAAATAAGTTTTTCGGTCAAACTCATATAGAAGTATACTTTGCGGCACTCCTACGCCTAAACTATTGATTTTACAAAAAGGTTACATAGACATAAAAAATAGGAAATTGTCTCTAGTTTTAGTTTCTATAAGCATGTTTTGTCATAAAATTAATCCGAAAGGAAACATTTAAGAAAAACTGCTACTAGGCAGTATTTTTCCAATATGGCAACCATACGAGGTCGCAAAGTTGAAATTCGTAAAGAGCACATCGAAATCTATATGAATACCAATTTTTATTACTCCCGGAAAACTTTCCAGGTAAACTACCAAATGACTGGACTATTATTTCACAACAGAAAACGACTTTACAAAAGCTGTGATCGTTACGTGTAAACACCGCGTGAGCCCGATTGTGACACCGTCATACGTCATACATATATTACTCATTAATACGAGTATACACGTCAGTATTAACTTCAACTGTGCATTGTCTATCAATTATTTGATTACATCGACCTGCCTGTTAAAATGAAATTATTTTAATACATGGTTTCATGTTGTTTTATTTAAATAGTGGTCATGCTTCATTTTATGAAAAAATGAATAATTATTTTTACCGCAGACATTCAGTGAGTTTTGGAGCTTATTCAATACAAACAAACAATCAAATCTTTCCTCTGTATAATATTAGTGTAGATAGAATTCTCCCAAACGTAATACTTACATACAGTACATAATACAAATTGTATGGCGTGGGAATCGAACCCTTGACCTCTACTTGATCAACCACTATACTAGAAGATATGACTAACGCCCGTACTTGAAAACGATACTTGCTTAAGTGATGCAGCAAATCAAACGCAGAGCGTTGAATCATCATCATCATTTCAGCCACAGGACGTCCACTGCTGAACATAGGCCTCCCCAATGACTTCCAAATCGCACGGTTGGTAGCGGCCTGCATCCAGCGCCTTCCTGCTACCTTTATAAGGTCGTCGGTCCACCTTGTGTGAGACCTCACAGTAATGTTTGTGAATACGAGCATAAGACCCGGAAGATTATGAGTAAATCTAATCAAATGTAGGAGTTATTTTCATAGATCGCCCCATAACAACACATTTTCTTATAGGGATCATCTTACTATTGTTATAGTATAATATTTACGTATATCAAGGCTGTTTTAGTAAACATCCCCTTAATGGCACCCTATTGTTTTTACCGTATCAGAGGGATCGGGTATCCGACAGATAGCAGACTGCGGTAACAATAGGTACCTATTTCTTACGAAAATACATTATAATAGGCCAGTTGGGTGTTGAGAAGTGTATGGATTTGGATTATCGTAGAAATTTGATCGAAAATTTAGTACATAAGGGCACCGACAAAGTTTAACGTGACTTTCAAAGTACATACTGGGTTTAATGCAAAGGTAGAATTCGCTTTAATTTTGTTTAACAATTGTGCTAAGGTACGATGTGCATATTCCATGAGCTTTCAGCTTTTACAAAACAAAAATGACGGTCTCTACACACCCGCGTTGTGCTATAGCGTTAAAATAGCTTATTAATCGTTACAGGCTCCTACAAAACAAGTGACAGCGCGTCGCCGCCCGTAATTCAACCTCGTGACGCACTGGCTCTGCAAAATTTCAAATTAATTTAACAACTCGACTTCCACGGTACCATACGGGCGAGTCCGTGGCCTGTGAAAAGCATAAAGTGTCAAACATGTCAGATTTTCACAATCGCTGAAGTTTATATTACTTTGATACTATTCAATACAACGAATTCGTGTAATATTGTACTTTGAAGTGACAGCTTAATAATTACCTTTTCGGAATTTTAGTCGATATAATTTGACTCGATAATTTGATACTTTGAATATTTAGATGGGAAATTATGAATAGAGATATTATTCCAATCCTATTGGAGGGCTTAAAGAATGAAGTAGCTAAAGCTATTTTCTGTTCTTATACAAGTAATAGGTACACAGTATCTATCAGGCATATTGGTCCAAATTATTTGTAGGTAATATGAAAATATTAACGTGCAAATAATTTTATACCATTCAGAGTAATCGAAACCTTATTATCTTGTTCCACAGATTGCATTTCAAGGCGACAGCCGATGACGACTACGCCGATTTTACGTGCGAGGCGAGACACGAGGCATTGCAAAGAGACACCCCGATGAGGAGTACCGTACAACTCAGTGTTTTGTGTAAGTACACATATTTATTTACCTACGACATCATTATTTACATATCTAAATTGTTTAGTTAACTATAATCCGGGCTTCTTTGAGGTGGGAGTGAATATTCATTTACTGGGCAGGTATGTTCTGTGTACCATTTTGGACACCCACTTTATATCTAGTGTGATACCTGTCTTGTTCAGCATAAAAAAGACACGATACTTCATCTTCATCATAATCTATCATCACCATATTAGCAACAGGATTTCTATTACGAATAATAATGAAATGATTTTCAAATAGGCTAGTTTCCTAAAAAAAAATTTTTAGTCCGTAAATTTTAGTATAAAAAAATTGAACACGTATATTTTTAATTGTCAATCAAACAAATAATTACAAAGTTATAGTGCGTTGAAGTTCCGCGCGACGTCACAAAGTGCTGCACTTTTACGTACTCACTGACGTCACGGGCCTTTTCTTTAGAACTTTGGCACGCTTTATCTCTTTACATTTTCATTGGTTTTAAAAAGTGAAAAATACGTGTTGAGTAGTTTTTGATAAGCTAACTGACGGACTTATTAAAACTCTTGCTTTTTACCCAGGAAACATCCCTATTGGTCGATTGAAAGCGACTTCCAACAATTTGTATAATGTCATTTATCCAAATAGATTTGTTTACTTCATACTTTACACACTTATGTGACGTGGGATATCGAAATTACCTATTTATTTTAGTGAAAAGAAGAATTTCTACACAGTCTCACCCATTCTTCAGTTCTGAAACACAAATACATCTCCCCCGCATAGATATTATAACCAATATCGGTCACAATTGGACACACGCTGCGTCTAATTTAGGACAAATGCTCCCAAAGACGTCTGCCATAACACTCATTATTTTTACTTGTTACCGAAAGAACCGAATATGAGTTGATTATCTGTTATGAAACGTGTTTGTCCTGTTTACGATATGTGATAGCCATCGATATTTCATTATCCAAGTACTTGATACAAAACATTATGTGTGGTGATACAATACATACAACAAACGTATTGGGATAATGTGATGATCGCTGTAACAACATAATTTCAGTAAAAAAACATAACAATCATTATTTTAATCACAAACATTAAATATATAATTATTATTACTACTGGTAGTTGTTGTGTTCATCAGAACCCTATTTTCATCAGAAATAATTTTTAATTGCTGTTTTTTTTTTTTCAACTTTTTGAGTTTATTCATTACCTCATCTTCATCACTACATAGTATAAAACTCAGTTGCTTTTCTGTCTGTCTGTCCCTATGCCTATGCTTATACATATATTTAAAACAACACAACGGATTTTGATGCGGTATTTTTAAAGATAGAGTGATTGAAGAGAAAGTTATTTAAGTACATCAAACCTGTGCGAAACAGGGGCGGGTCGCTAGTCAGAAACAATGTAGAATTCTAATGATGAAAGAATTTTTCAAATCCGTCCGGTAGTTTCGAAACCTATTTAAACAAACAATCAATCAAATCTTTCCTCTTTATAACATTGCTATATATAAAAGTATAATAAGTGCGCTGATTGTTCTTAGGAAGTATAAGTGACGGAAAGATACAAGACACACTTAGACCGGAAAACAAATCCTTCAAAGTTTGGTATTACTTTCTACTTTCTTGTTTGACGGACGTAGGGTAGGGGACAGACGATCGCTGTCCCGGTAACACAAACTGTGATCAATTTGCGCCATGGCGTGAAGAATTCTAATTTATTACCTAGAGAAAACATTGATTAAAGTCTGATCTGAGTCTGTTGTCAGAAAAAGATACAATTTGAGTAGGTATAGCATATTTTAATTTACTCTCTAATTTTTAGAAGATCTTATGTGATAAGCCTTATGAGTAAATATGTATAAAGTAATTATGTATTATTAGTCTGCTAGGGACTAGAATTCGTTGCCTGCTGCTGTCAATCCCGAAGACTATAATCCGGGCCTTTTCAAGGCGAGAGTGAATATGTACTTATGGGCAGATATTACCATCCTGGACTGCATCCCACTTAATATCAGGTGCGATTGTGGTCAAATACCTGCCTTGTTATGCATAAAAAAGTTTACGATTCGTAAGGAAGGAGGTGACAGGATATATTTTCAATTAATAACTTTTTACAAGTGCAATATACATATAACCGTCATCATCATCATTTCAGCCACAGAACGTCCACTACTGAACATAGGCCTCCCCAATGACTTCCATATTGACCGGTTGGTAGCGGCGCGTATCCAGCGCCTTCCTGCTACCTTTATGAGGTTATCTGTTCGCTCACGAGCGAGCCTCTCTGGCTCCGAGGGAACCTCGAATCCCCTCCTCCAGTTGTTTTTTATAGAGGTTTTCTCCTCGCGGCCCTGGTACAACAGGACCCCCGGCCCGCCGTAGCGGGTTACGGTCTGCTCTATGCCGCTGCTCGGTCAACTCTGCTGATCAGAGAAGTACCGAGAGCGGCCCTCCAAAGAATGAGCCCGGGCAAAACCCCCGCCAGCCCCCACCTGTGGGGGTTTTTAAAGATGTCCCCTGCATCGTGGCCCGGGCAAATGCCTCGACGGCCCCCGGCCCACTCAATTGTGGGTTACGGGTTGCCCGACAGGCCCGCCGAGTTGACGAGACCTGCCGCGCAGATGAGAAGTTAGCCGCCCGCGTGAACAGACCACGCGGACGTTGCCCAGGGTGCACCACGAGGTGGTCCCTCACCATCGCACCCCTGGTGGGTAGACGTCCTACGCTACGCTTGCCGGTACAAAAACCAAATATTCGCCTTATTATTGAATAAAGACGTACGTCATTTTTATAATTGACCCTCTTTTCAAATCTCTATCTCCACTACGTCTAACACCGTCATATTTAATATCTCTATGCGCGTCCATTAGTCCATAGAATAAAATAATAGACCCGTCACAATACTCTGCCCACAGATAAGTTTTTGTGGCCGTCACACGTAAAAAGTTAAGAAAAATTAATGGTTTCGCTGAGTTAGGATTACGGTTAAGACATGTGATGGGTACGTCCTTATCTTAGAACGAGGTTTCGGATACTTTCGGATATTTACGGTCACGGTAATAATCTGTAGTATCTCAATCTTATCTATTTGGTATCTATTCAAATCATATTAAATGTTTCTTAGTAAAATTTGATTGCATTTTTAAAGAAATAATTTTTTTTTTTTTTTTTTATGTGATAGGAGGCAAACGAAGTAAAAAAAGATCGTTTATTTTGCATTGAAAAATGATGTTTCGAAGCTAAAATTACACTTCTGAAGTAGTGTGTGTACTTTGGTAAGACCTAGACAGTGATCTTATAAAGGTGGCAGGAAGGCGCTGGATGCAGGCCGCTACCAACCGGCCAAACTGGAAATCATTTAAGGAGGCATATGTTCTGCAGTAGACGTCTAGTGCCTAAAATAATGTTAATGAGATTTAGGCTACTTTCAAGTTTAAAAATAATCTAAACCAACGTCTCAAGTTTCGGATACTCATAAATATCCGAACAATTCGTATACATTATTAACAGCCCTTTTATCTGACTATTACCCGACTCACTCGGGGAGGTTAAGTGTTTCGCATCGTAAACGTAAGAGCCTGGCTAATGTTCCTAGATTAGGCTGTAATACAGGGTGTTGATTTCAATACTCGCCATATTTAGAGAGTTGATTGAGTAGCTTTTTCTGATCACGAAAAAGTAAAAAAAATGACTTCGAAAAAAATTTAAAACGAACTTTAACTTTAGTTAGTCAAAGAAAAATACCTGTTTACACTACCTACTTTACGTGGCTTCCTTCAGTAGGCTATCCGACATGATATTATGCAAGCGAACCGCGTAGCTCGATGGTGCCGCAGTGTAAACTATTGCAGTATTGCGAGCCACAGTACAGTTGATTTTGCACGGAAAATATTCGCTAAAAATTCCACGTTTGTTTGTAATATTTTTTTGGTGGATAATGCGTTTTTAAAAGTCATAATAGATCACCTAAATAAATATGGCGAGGATTAAAATGAACACCCTGTATATTTGTTTTTGACATTCCTGTATGAGGCTGAGTAATTGGGTGAAAGCAATTAGAAAGTATATTTATAAATTACTTACAATAATAGGTCATCCTAAAAAGTATGTCAGAGGTAGTGGAATGTTGTCTTTCATTTCTAATGGAGAACAATTTTTATCAGGAATATACTCTTAGTTGACAAATTAATAGGTAAAGTTAGAAATGTACCGACAAAAGGTACAGTAAATGGGTTTTCGTATTGAGACCTAGTCTTGGCAACCAGAGTGTAGGATGCCTAACTGCTCGATGGACTGACGACCTGAAGAAGATAGATAGTATTAGCGGTTCTCAGAACCAGATGTGGTGACAGGACAACCAAACTTCGTACATTCGTTGCAGTAAAATGTTGTCCACAGCTGGACAAAAGCCGGGGATTCCACAAGACCGATCTTGCGCATCCATGGTGCTTCCCGCGACTTTCACAGATCTTCAGTGGCCTGCCTACACTACGATTTCCAATCCTTGGGTCATCATCATCAACATCTCAGCCATAGGACGTTCACTGCTGAACATAGGCCTCCCCCAATGCTTTCCATGTTGTCCAGTTGGTAGCGGCCTGCATCCAGCCCCTTCCTGCTACCTTTATGAGGTCGTCGGTCCACCATGTGGGTGGACGTCCTTCGCTGCGCTTTCCGGTACGCGGCCTCCACTCCAGAACCTTGCTGCCCCATCGGCCGTCAGTTCTGCGTACTATGGCCCTGCCCATTGCTAATCCGTCGGGCTATGTCAGCGACTTTAGTTCTTTTACGGATATCCTCCTTGGGTGCCACTCGAGAACTTATCTGTTCGTATTAGGTATATGGGACGTAATTAAGTGCCTTGGAATCGGTTTAGAATAAAGAATTTGAGACTGAAAACTCAGAACGAAATGAACTTTCCATTAAACTTAACGAAAAGACCTGGAATTGCACTGAATTGTATTTTTTAGGAAAGAGCCCATA